AAATCCGTTAAATGATAAGAAAAACATCTAAAAAAATCAGCTATTAACGAAGGCCGACAAAATTCGCCAACAGGAATCGAAAACCGCTACAATTTGCGAATTTTACAATAAATTGCCAAACTAATTTGAAACTTTGGACTGGAACATTTAGTTATCTCGATTTTCCAAGTAGACTGAGGGCCTTGCAGCTAACAACTCCTCAGATAAGACACTAAAGGGAAGACCTCATAAAACCGTATAAATTCCTGAATGTTTGGTAGTATCGGGACTCGCCAATAAACTAGTGATTAGTGGAAATGATAAATCGATATAAAAATAAATGGGTCGCTCAGTACCCAAGGTTCACACAGCTGCCAGGCGGTGGAACTGATCCATCCCGCCAAATCTTAATTCACGCTGGAACAAACAACATTATCCACTAAAACATTTAAGTTTGTAGATTGAAATTACACTTTCATGTGATGGCGGCAGATGAAGGCACTAGGAGGAAAAAGATTCGTGCTAAAGGTATGTGAAAAAGTTGATGGTTTTTGAACTAATAGACTGATGCCTTAACTACCCAGAGATTAGAACACCTAGCTTATACTACAGACGGACAAAGGGTGACCTAGTTGAAGTGTATAAACATCTCATAGGGCACTACTCAGTTGAATGGGTTAATTTGCATAACAGCACACAACTTAGAAAATAAAATAATATGTTTTTCTGGTGTACAGTAGTTATGTGTGTTTACATCGGAAATTGGCCTTTTTTTATAGTTTTCTTTTGTGGGGAGTTTTCCGACAAAAATTATGGCTAAAAGACTACAAAATACACAAGAAAAACATAAACCTGACCTGACCTAACCTAACCTAACCTAACCTAACTGACTCGCCATATGATGGGATCACTTATTTCTTAACGTATTAGCCTAGTTTTGGTTCGTCGTTAGAGTTACCACAATGTCACATATGTTGGTCTTGACGATATTTACATTCGTTCTTGCACTTAAGACACTTTATTGAGGTCGGGAGAAAACCATGAGATCTAAAAAAATGCTATAGTTTCTTCGTATTTTTTTTCCCAAAACTCGCAATCAGCTCCATATAATTGAAGTGACACCCATCGCAGGCTTCCATGGTCGGAAATGAAGTTGAATTTCGAAATATGAGAGACCCAAAATAAAAATCTAATTTGATTGGGTCAAAAATACTGCGAATTAAACCACAAATCATTTTAATTGGTTGCCCCCCAAAAATGCTTTTGATTGGCAGCATGACGTGTACGGGAACACATACGCGTGATGATTTATGAAGGAGACACGCAGTGTGGGAGATGAGGTAGACGATAATGGCGGAAGATTAATATATTAGAGAAATTTTGGATATGCTATCTCCGTTATTATACATTTGTGACAATTATGTAATAGAAGAAAATTATCTTATAATTAGACGTCTTATTTGAATATGATAATAGATTAGGGGTAGGAATGTTGTGTGCGGAAATGCAATAATACCGTCGAATATATATACAGGTGCTCCCCGACTTACGATGGGGTTAGGGACCCAAATCCAGGTCGTAAGTCCGACATAAAAAATAAAATAAAAGGCTATAATGAAATACAGTACAGTAAAAGTAATAAATAATGAGGAATGGATACAGTGTGACTGAGCACTTACCTTTAATGTAGTCAGCTGAATGCACACAGGGCCCCCATAATTTTCTATTTACAGGATATATGGAGACTATATTAATTGGATGAAGCAGAAGAGGAGACAGGGCTGGGTGGGTCATCAATGTCGCTTTCTTCAGACAGGTTTATGTACTGTGGAAACTTGCTGGTTGAAGGCATGCGCTTCCACAATAATCCAGTCTCATCCACATTGAATATTTGCTCAGACAAATAATTCCCTTCCACAATCACATCATCTAACTCCTCCTTAAAAGCTTCAGCAGCACCAACATCGGCACTAGCTGCCTCTCCACTCACCTTAACATTGTGCAGACTGTAGCATTTTTTAAAGCCATCAAACCACCCATGACTTCCTGTAAAGGTTTGATCACAGTCATCTCCTGCCTGCTCCTTCAGGCTTTGGAACAGGCTTCTTGCTTTAGCCTGTATGGTTAGAAGGCTTAAGGGTACACTCTTCTGAATCTGGTCTTCTATCCATATCACCAATAATTTTTTCATATCGTGAATAGGACCTTGTCTTCTCTTTGAAATTATCGTTCCCTTTATAGGTGTTGTTCCTTTCACTACTTCACGAATACGTTCCTTGTCCTTCAGAATAGTGGATATAGTCGAGTGTGAGAAACCTAGGTCGCGTGAGATCGTTGCTACTGTTTTTCCATTCTCATACTGTGTTATTATCTTCAGTTTCATCTCAAAACTAATTGCCTGTCTCCTTTTCCTTGGAGCACCACCAGCACTCTCACTTTTACGCTTTCCAGTCATTATAAAGTCAATTAAATACGATAATAATATAAGTTCACAGTGCAATCAGTATAGGATACGATAGCCAAACACCAGCTAAGCGCTCCACTGAGTGAGTGTACCCATGTTCTCGCCCGGGACAGAAACGTTTCGGTATAGACAATGCGCGCGTCATTTGAAAATATTTTTGGTCACGACTGTCGCGGTCATATGTCCCAACGGTCGTAAGGTCAGAGCAGGTCGTAAGTACCGATGGACGTAAGTCCAAGCAGTCGTAAGTCGGGGATTACCTGTACCAGGAGCTGGTGGAAGTCCGCCCCACAAGGGGTCACAGCTCAAGGTTGAAGAACCCACAAGTCCAGAAAACTGTGAGGGCAGACTTTTCGGGTATTATTTTACGGTAAGATTTCACTTATGCACCAATCTTTGTTTGGATATTAAAAGTATGTTTTTCTGATGTTATTTGATGGGTCTCAAACGAATTTGATATTCATTTCAGCCAGAAATCAATATTTTTAGAACCCCCCCACCCTACCCATCAATCTTAATGAAAATTTTAATTTTTTTGAGTAAATCACTTAAATAAAATACCAACCAACCAACAAAACATAACCTAACCTAACACTATTTTTCTGATGAAACTCTGCAATTGACATAAAATAATCTCTATTACAATGTCGGCACAGCTCTTTCCACCTGTTCATCCATATCTGGTTATTCTGGTACTGAAAATTCAAATCTCTGCTCCCGATGCACCCACACATTGTTGTTCATTGGCTAAGAAAAAAAATCTTGCCCAATTATAAGTCTCCTATCACTATAGCCAATAAGAAACTCCCACACCACTTCTGCACCTGAGCTGTAGACGCTTAAGAAGCCAACACGGAGGTAAGGAGCACTGCGTCACGGGTGGTCAGACCTTCTCTGTGAGACATAAATAACAAATGGCGACACTTGTGACTGACCAATTCTAATATACTTTTTTACTTTTATCCTCTTCACCACTGATCGGCTCGCTAGCCGCTTGGGCGATCGGTCACGTCTCTGTCACACGCTGTTGGCAAGTACTAGTCATGTACTGGCTCTCTGTTACGCACTGTTGGCAGGTACTGGGCGTGAACTGGCTCCTGAATGTACCTGAACCCGCTCCAGTGTTGGTCAAGTTTGGTCTTGAAAGAGCTCACACTCGGTGCCGTCACAACACTTTCTGGTAGATTGTTCCAAGAATTCACAACTCTCACTCCGAAAAAGTTTGCCCTCACAGTTTTCTGGACTTGCAGCTTCTTCAATCTTGAGCTGTGACCCCTTGTGGGGCGAGCGTCCGCCAGCTCCAAGTAAGGATACTCAACTGAGTAGTGCCCCTTGAGATGCTTATACACCTACACCTCCATTAGGTCACCCCTTGTCCGTCTGTAGTATAAGCTAGGCAAGTTCAGGCGCTCCAATCTCAGGGTAGTTGAGGTGCCGAAGTGCAGGCACCAATCTGGCAGCCCTCCTTTGACCATTTTCAACCAACTGACAGTCCCTAGCATATCTCGGGGACCAGACGCGTTGACAGTACTCCAGATGGGGAAACACTTCACTCTTGAAGATCATTACGACGGACGGACCGTCTAGATATCTGAACGACCTTCTTATAAGACCCAATAATTTATTTGCCTGATTTACCTTCTTCTCACAATGGCCCGAGAACTTCAGCTCATTGTCAACATACACACCTAGGTCCTTCTCACATTCAGTCTCAAATAGTGCAGTTTCTTCATCCTGTTGGGACATATGATATGCCTCCTTACCGTTAGTATGCCCCAGGTGCATCCTCTTACACTTAGTGACATTGAATCTCAGCAGCCATTTCTTCGACCATTCTTGGAGCTCACAGAGATCCTTCTGCAGCTCTTCACAGTCCGCTAGGTTCTTGATTTCGTGAAATAACTTGGCGTCATCGGCAAACATTTGTATGGAGGAGTGTACAACGTAGGGTTTGTCATTTATGAAACAAACAAATAACAGCGGGCCCAATACACTGCCCTGTGGTACCCCGCTTGCGACAGGTACAGATGATGGTTTCGTGCCATTAATCACCACACACTGCTTGCGGTCATGTAGAAAGTCTTCTATCCACGCTAGGACATTTCCCCGAATTCCGTACCCTTCCAGTTTGATCTTCAGCCTTTCGAGGGGTACACTGTCAAAAGCCTTGGCAAAATCTAGGTATATATTGTCAATATTACCACCCCGTTCCAGAATATGGGTCCAAATATCCAATACCTTGAGCAATTTTGTTAAGCACGAACGCCCCGGCATAAAACCGTGTTGGCAATCCTTTACAAGGTTGTTTCGTAGTAGATGTTCCATTGCAGCATCTCTGATAATACCATCAAGTAATTTACATACTGTATTATGCTGATCAGGCTCGCCGGTCTATAGTTGTTCATGGAGTAACGATCGCCCTTCTTGAAGATAGGACTCACATAAGCCACTTTCCATTCACTGGGGACCTTTTGTTCATCCAGGCATTTACAAAATAGGATCTTCAGGGGCTAGGCAAGCTCGTTGCACAACTCTCTTAGCACTCTAGGATGCACCATTTCGGGGCCGGGACTCTTATGCACCTTTAGCTTTGACAGTTTATATCTAATACCCTCTTCTGTGAACACAATGTGGGTCAGTGCTGTGCCCAACCGTCTGTCCTCAAACGCAGGAAGGTTAATCGCATCCTCTCTTGTGAACACCGAGGAAAAGAAGCTGTTCAATGCCTCAGCTTTATCCTGGTCAGAATCTTCATCACTACCATCTTCAAGCCTCAGGTCTGATACTCCTTGTGGTGTCTTCATTTCTTAAGGCTATTTATGTAGGAGAGATTGAGGCACAGTCTTCTAAATCCCATGTTTATTTCCTGCTCCTTTTACAATGAGTCTCCATATAAATCCACCTCCCTACAGTGAGTCTACATATAAACACTCAACATTTAAAGTACAGTTGTTGCTGTAATAATATAAATTATTCCTTTATACAATTGTTTGTACAGTAATATATAACACTCCTAGTCACGTTTTTAATTTTGACTTTGCATAGCGGTAAAACGCCTTTGGGT